TGCTAATCATGTTAATCATTTGCAAGAAATGTTCAACATCCTCAGAGAATATTCTATGGTATTAAATCCGAAGAAATGCACTTTTGGCGTTGGTTCTGGAAAATTCCTAGGATATATCGTGACTCAACGAGGTATTGAAGCAAATCCCCTAAAAATTAAGGCCATTATGGATCTGACACCCCCCACGTCGGTTAAAGGTGTTCAAGCTCTTACCGGCCGACTTGCTGCTTTAAATCGGTTTATATCAAAGTCAACAGACCGATGTAGACCCTTTTTTTAATTTATAAAGAAGGGAAAATGCTTCGAATGGACCAAAGAATGTCAACAAGCTCTGGAAAAGATAAAAGAAACGCTTCTCCAAACACCGACTTTACAGAAACCAATACCTGAAGAAATGCTGTTCTTGTACTTGGGAGTAAGTGATTCTGCTATCAGTGTTGTTCTTATCCGAGAAGAAGTACATCAACAATATCCAATTTATTATATCAGTAAGGCTTTACATGAAGCTGAATTGCGATATCCGCCGATGGAAAAATTAGCTTATGCTCTTGTTATCGCAGCTCGGAAATTACGTCCTTACTTCCAAGAACATTCAATAACGGTACTTACTTCATACTCTTTAAAGTCAATCTTACACCGACCTGACACGTCAGGAAGACTGATCAAATGGGCCATTGAACTCGGTCAGTATGATATTCATTATAAACCGAGAACTACAATCAAAGCCCAGGCTTTGTCCGACTTTATTGCTGAGTTCACTCCTGCAATCGAGACAATTAATGAAAATCAACCATGGACTTTGTATGTTGATGGCTCATTAACTCAACATCGAGCTGGTGGAGGAATCATTCTAATAGATCCTCAGAACAAGATGTTCTGTCATTCTGTTAAATTCCTTTTTCCGGCAACAAACAACGAGGCTGAATACGAGGCTTTACTGTCTGGGTTAAGCCTTGCAGAATCCATGAATGTAAATAAGCTAAAGGTGTTCTCTGATTCACAATTGCTGGTGAACCAAGTCCATGGAGATTTCGAAGTTAAAGAACCTCGGTTGCTATCATACTTGACGCTCGTAAAACAGAAGATGTCCCGACTTGATGTTCAGTTGGAACACATTCCTCGTTCGCAAAACATTCCAGTTGACGCTCTTTCTAAACTTGCATCAAGTACTGGAATGGAGGATGTCGAGTATGTCCAAGTCGGTCACCAAGAGATGCCTTCTGTTTCTCTTGCAGAAATTATGAATACCGAGTTACAGAAATTACCGACTTGGATGTCACCGATTATAACATACATGGAAACTGGAGCCTTACCTCAAAATCCAAAAGAAGCTCGAGCTCTTCGAATTCGAGCAGCTCGGTTTACGCTGGATAATGGGATCCTTTATAAAAGGGGATACTCTGTTCCCCTGTTGAAATGTTTAACCGAGCAAGAGTCGAAATATGTCCTTGAAGAAGATCACGAAGGAATTTGCGGAAATCATAATGGTGCACGAGCATTGGCATACAAAATACTTCGACAAGGATATTATTGGCCAACTTTGAAGGTGGATGCGATGAATTGGGTTCGCAAATGCACGAAATGTCAAATATTCGCCCCAAATGTTAACCAGTCTCCAGAATCTCTCAAGTCGATTTATAGTCCGTGGCCATTTGCTAGATGGGGAATCGACATAATCGGTCCACTTCCAACTGCAAAAGGAGGTGTTCGATTTGCTATTGTAGCAGTTGATTATTTTACCAAGTGGGCTGAAGCTGAACCATTGGCTGCGATTACCGAACAAAAAGTTATCGATTTTATTTGGAAATCAATTATATGTCGGTTTGGCTTACCGAGTTCAATAGTTACCGACAATGGACGACAGTTTGAAGGGAAGCGACTTGAAACTTTCTGTGAAGAGTATCAAATAAAGCACTTCTTTTCTTCGCCATATCATCCTCAATCCAATGGACAAGTCGAAGCAATTAACAAGATCATAAAAAATGGTTTGAAAGTCCGACTTGATGCAGCGAAGGGGACTTGGCCCGAAGAATTGCCAAATGTGTTGTGGGCTTATAGGACGACAGTTGGTCATGCAACAGGAGAAACACCATTTTCTCTAACTTATGGATCAGAAGCAGTTATCCCTGTTGAACTCGGATCCCCTACATACCGAGTAATGAATTTCCAAGATGAAACCAACTCAGAAAACTTGAAGGCCAACTTGGATCTTTTGGATGAAACTCGTCTCATGGCAGATCTTAGAAATGCTGCCTATAAACAGAGAAGCGAGAAGTACATCAACTCAAAAATAAAGCCACGATCATTCCGAGTTGGAGACTTAGTACTTAAAAGAATTACTGGACCAGATCCGGGGCCTTTAAAACCAAAATGGGAAGGACCGTTCAAAATCAGTCAAGTACTTCCAAAAGGTACCTATCGACTCGAAAGGCCCGATGGACTAGCTCTTCAATACCCTTGGAATGCTGTTTATCTGAAGAAGTATTTCCAGTAAACTCTTTGTAATATATGAATGACTCTGTACACTTTTTTTATGTATATAAGAAAATTGTGTGCTAAAGAGTCTCTTGAAAAGAACCGAGTGCTTTAACTCGGTATCATATTGGTCTTTATGTAGCCAAGCCTTCAAACTTGGACAAGACTAATACTTTACTAAAAATTCTAAGGATTATATCAACAGTTTGGCGCTAGAAGGAGGGCTTGAACCTTCGACATCAACAGCCATTTGAAGAGTTCAATTACCTACTAATGTCGGGGGCCTCTCTGTTGATAACCGACTTGATTATACGATTAACAATGGAGATTAATTATGCTATCTATCGGAATAAATATGTCAAGAAAAAGACAACTTAAGATAAGTCGGTATTTGTTAAAGTACACCGACTTCCGAAATGATCAAAGAGAGAAAGAACCGATGACCGACTCTGTCGACAAGATGGTTAGTCATATCAAAACTTCTCTATTCAAACCGACTACCACAAAGTTCAAATATTCAAACATGAAACAAGCTGAAAGCACCTGATTGGACCATCAAAATAGAAGAAGCAATCATTGATGTTTCCCACCGCTTAAAGTGAAGCAGCTCAACATTAAATACGTTCTTATCCATTTCAAACAAAAAGACAAAAACTACCGTACTATAAATAGTAGAATTTATGAGAGTACGAGGATCTTTTTCGACACATTGTACATGGACTTGAGATGATCTCGGTCGAGAATAAAAAACCGACTCCTGTACTCTTGTGGATATATCAAATAAATTCTAATTTTACTTTAATCTTTGTTTAAACACACTCAGCTGTTTGTAATTTTAAGTTGTTAATTTCATACAACAACATAGGTGATATTTAAAATAGTCAAAAAAACTTGACACAACTTGGTTGGTGACTAAGTTATGTATCAGTTCGACCACACCAAATCGATTATTGAACCTAAATATAAATTTTATATTAAAAATATTTTATTACGTGAATGTGATGAGTCCAAACTTCAAATAATCCTATTAACAATACTTTTATGACAACGTGTTTAATGATTTATGAATATTTATATATCATTTTATTAATATTTATGTGCATTACATAATATTGTATTATAATATTTATTAATATACAGTAAATATAAGGTTTTCAGAATTGGACCGTCCTCGAAACGATCAAGATATTTTATTAAATCATTTGTGGTTTGGTCAGCTTTTAATTTCTAAATATATATATATATATATATAGTACTTTTTGTTATAAATTTAAATAAAATGTGTTACTTAGATATCTAAACAATTTATATATTCAAATGTTTAAACTAATTGATAAATAATTTATAAATTTCTATTTTATATAAATATGGAATTTTATTTAAAATAATTTTAAATATAACATAATTTTATTTAGAAAATTGTATCGATACTACCAGTCCAACGGACTGGTGTTGACGGATTTGAGAACAAATATTTTATTCAAGCAAACTAGACTGGTTATAAATCAGTTCTCGGTTCATCCAGTCAGACTGTGTCCTACTCGATTTAATTTAAAAACAATGGATAAATCATGATTAATGTTATTTATATATTTAATTTATAATACAATCATAATATTGTTTTCCCCTGCATCGCACGGGCCATGCACTAGTAAAATTTTAAAAGCCAAACGTAGAAAGTACTTAATTTTTTAGACAGAAACCCTACGAAATCGAAGGGAAGCGGTGGACAGAGAGAGTAAAAAATGAACCATCAATATTGGGGGTGTTATTTCTATTTATATCTCTCTTGATAGTATAACAACCGTTGGATAATTTTCAGTGAAAATACACAGACCGTTCGACGAGAACAATTAAAATATTTTAGCTATAATTAATTTGTGGGTATAAATTTTGGCTAAATTAAAGGGATAGTTTAACCGGTAAATTCTTTGTCAATGGGCCAACATTCTTTAATTTTTGATATAGATAATGACTTTCATTTTCTTTTTATTGAATGCATTATGAGTTTAATTAATTGGCCCATTTCAGTCAAAAAAGATATAACTAACAGATTTTTTCATTTATGTAAATGGGTCAAAATATACTTCTTTAAAAAAAATAGGAGAATTTACATCCTTGCGTAACTTCCCTTAAATATTTGCATAGATACTAGGGACCGACTAGGGTCAGGTACCCTTTGTACATACCTGACATCAGATACCATTAGATTGACTCAAGATTGAATATGGACCATTGATTTAGTGTACAAACATGTACAAGGCCAAAAAGAAATAATGGACGCTTTGTACATGGCTTTGTACGTCTGTACACGTTTGTACATGCGAAAATTGAATTTTACCCTTACGATTATTAAAAATTTAAATAAATTATAAAATGAAACTTTTATTTATTTTGAAACCCATATATTTATGTTATTTATATTGCAGTCCTACATATATTAAAAACACATAATTTAATTCTTTCAGATTTGTATTATTACGATTCATTATATGAATTAAAATTAACATGTTTGTTCATCTTTTTTAAATGGTTTGTTCATCGTTCTTCATTCCGATCCTCCATCTCAGATCATCGCCGTCGCCTATGCCTTTGATTCACCAGCGATAACATCGTATCCCTCACCTACTTCGAACTTGTATGTATACACTACCGACGTAATCCATCGTCTGAAATGGCTTCATTTCTGACCGAACGTAATCGTCCCCTCGCCTGAAACCTGAACTTCCCCACGATTTAATATCGGCCCTAATTACGCTACTCTCATGTTACATTTAATGTTTTAATGAAGTTTCGATTGTAAATATCTCTCCTGATTTTGTAGTGTTGTGTTTGTTTGTGTTTTGATTTTTTTTTTTTTTGGTATGCAAATTCAGGTCGTTTGCTAATTGGCTTGCTGCATTTGTATTCTTGTTATTATAAATTGATTTGGAACATTTGTGATGTCTTGATTTTCATTTCATATTAGGAGGTGGATTGGTTAAGTGAGGTTTGAATTTTGTTTTTGGTGCATTCTTAGCTAGCACATTACATGCTCTACGAAATGCCTCACTTGATGAATTTGTGACATTGTTGCTAATTTCCACTAAATATGTTTGATATTGTACGAGGAGTTGTGATTCACCACTACCTTGCTCCTGTTTGATGAAGAAGCAATCCAGCCCTTTTGCAGTTCACTTCTTGATATGTTGTACATGTGTTCCTGCTTTTTGTCCTTGAACCCTTTTTTTTTCTAATTTAATGGAAGTATTTGTGGCACAATTATCCTGTAGTATGCATGATGACATTGCAATGAAAACACATATTCATAAATTTCCATACTATTTGAATATGGATGACGCTAAATTTCTATATAATGCAATAACTATTGGTAAATTGCGTTGTGAATGCGAAGGTCATCAATACTTTGATAATTTAAGATATTTCCTGTGCATTTTGTATAACACATTTGATTTAATTAAATTACTATTTGTTCAGCCACTGCTACTTTTTGGTGGGGTCATAATGAGAGAGGGGATAACAGAATTCATTTGTTGGGATTGGATAAATTGGTGAGAGAAAAAGCTAATGGAGGTTTTGGGTTTAGGGATCTTATTGCATTTAATGATGCATTGTTGGTTAAACAACTTTTGAGATTCATTACTCAGCCCAAATTGCTAGTTAGTAGAGTGATGAACATCAGATATTATTTGCCAGACTAGGTTGATGAATGTGTCACCCAAAGCACATGATTGTTGGTTGTGGAAAAGTCTTTTGGTGGTTAGGAAAGTTTTACAAATTGGGTTATGTTCAGAGTGGGGGATGGTACAACTATTTCGGTTTGGTACTCACTGTGCATTTTAATTTTTATACCCCCTTTCGAGCCAAAGTGTAATTTTCCTGTTTATAGAGGGAGACTGAAGAAAGGAAAAAGATAATGGGATCATGATATCTAACCTTTGATCCTGTGATTGCAAATAGAATTATCAAGATTCCTTTGGCTAGTAATCGAGGTCCTAACGGGTAGCTCAAGGTTAGATCCAGTAGATAGCTTGCTCAAGTTTGGATCCTGTACAGATTCAAAGGATGTGGAGTGCAACAATGAAATTGAAGGAAGTTGAAGAATTTTCTTTGGAGATGTTGGTTTGACTACATCCCTTCTAAAAAGCAACTGAACATGAGAGGCTGATTAGGATTTAAATCATATTTTGTTTAACTTCCCCAAAGCTAAATCGTTTTTGAAGATTACTGGTGTCAGTTGGAGTTCTGAAGATTTTGAAATTGTTAATTTGCAATCTTGGTGACTGCATCTTTGTGTCTATGGCAATATGGTGTTTTTGGAAGAGATAAATCAGGAACTGGTAGATATTAGAGACCTTCTGTTGCATTGTAATGCTGTTGTCATTAACCGTAATCCTTGTGTCAAGTTAGTTGACCTTGTGGTTTGTATTCAATTGATTAATATGTACACTGTTTTCAGATTAATATATATTCACATGTTTGTAATCCTTGTTTGCCGTTGGAAAAAACAAATGAAGTACTTGTGGACATTCACACTGTTCAATTTCTTATACATTGTGGACATTGATTTACAATACTTAAACACACACTATCGAATGTGAGCTACTTGTTGATTTTTCAGTAGTTAACCAAAAGTACCATCGAAGGATAAGGATGAAAACAAAAATTTGCATTACTTGATGACTTCCACCCCCATTTAAACCTAACAAAACCTTCAGTTCAACCTTAATAATACGAACAAATATAAAATAAAAGTATGTTCAAACATACACCTCCACATTAATCTAACACCAATTAACATTGTTCAAAATTCCACGTCGAACACCAAATCATCACACTCAACTTCTACTTTTTAAAAATGATAATTGTTCCTTGAACTATTTGAGCATAATTGATGAAAGACTTGAGGCCTTTGAAAATGTGTTTGGTCCCTTCTTTCTTCACTTGGATGATCCATTGCTTGCCCCCATGACGGATACGAGCAGATTCAACTTCATCATATTACCCCATCAACTCTTGATTCCAGTATGCAGATGGAATCGTCTGTATGATATTGAATTAATAAAAATGGTGCAATACTACTAATTCAACGATATTATTATAATAATGCATGCAAGTAATTTAAGTGTAGATTAATGAAAATTAGATATTTGCAAGTACATAATTGTTACCTGCCGGCCGCGGCTAACAAGAGTGAAGGAAGCTTGTATATGGAACCCACCAACAATAGCTTCCTCTTCCATCCCATCCAATTCCTCATCATCTTGAATGCAAGATCCAACAACAGATCTAAGGGCTCTTCGAGCACAAGAAAGGTCAAAATGATAGACAATGAACCTGTTTGATTACGTCGGTGTACTCTTTTGAGTTTTAAAGTTATTAAAATAATAAACGTTTGATCCAAAAAAATAAATAATTACCTGTTTGTGCCTCCAAGTTCAAAAAGAAGGATGTCATTTGCTTTGATAGAATTTTCCCTCAAAAAGTCCTCCCATCCATCTGCAAACCCAATCTTCGTTCCAAGACGCTTGATTACAACCGGCCATTTGAATGCATCATCCCCCTCGCTGTTCTGCAAGGTGCATTCAATTGGAAGCAAAGGTTCGACAGTGCTCCAAATCATAGGGGGAATAGGCTAAGAAAAATGAGAATGTCATGTGAGATACGCAATTCGGTTATAAACAAATGTATAATAATTAGGCAATAATTGGCAAGCGGTAGTTATTGAACATTTATAATTGATATTATACATACAAACAGATGTTAGATAAATCAAGCATAAGTCAGTAAAAAAAAAAAACACTTACCAGATTGTTTCTGTTGTGGTAGATGTTAATTAACATAAATCGGTTAACCTCCAACAATTGAGGCTGGCTGCAGCCAATTTGTTTCGGCACATGACACCGACGGGTTACCCGATTCTTTTGAGTCCAGTAATGATCGAAGTGGTAAAAAACAAAGTTCTTCAATTTGACTAATTTGAAAGCCAAAAAATCAGCCTATTTAATATCATTTTGAATGCTGAAATCAACCCATCCCTCAGTCAAACCAATCCTATCACCAATTTGCTCCACTTTCATATCCCATTTTGGTCCACTGTCAATTTCATAGCTATGGAATGTACAATACAGCGGTAGGTAGCCATCGAAATTCGCAGCAATTTCATCAGGAATAAACTATTATGCACAAAATTGATACCGTATGCAAAAAAAAAATAAAAAAACATTAGGATAACGAAATTTAGGGTTTTACAGAAATAACAAATAACTTTAGGTAGAACGTTTACCAGAAAATGTTGAACTTCTGGATGAATGATTTTGATAAATGTATTGACTTCTGAAATATCCATTGACATTCTCGGAACAATTGATCTTTCTTCACCTTTGTAACGTCTGAAAAATTGCTAGAAAAGCGAGAAGAAAGAGAGAGAAAAATGTTATGGTGTCGCGACGCGAGAGACTTTAATATACTACTTGTATATGTAACCAGTCAATTTCCGTCGTTATGTGTCAATGTTTTGGGGCCGGCAAATAAGGCCCACTAGCAATTCAGATTTCAGATTTGTTAGGGTTTGCAATTAAAATTGGCATGTATTATGTTAAAATAATAAATTGGTAATAAAATATAGGTAGTAACTGGCTGCTAATTACCGAAAATTCGGTTTGTCCATTATCATAACCGAATACCGAATCGAAATATAAGGTTCAGTTCAGTTTTTAATCGAATACCCACTGGTCGGTTCAGTTCGTAACCGAGTGTTAAATTTGTAACGGAACTAAAATTTTAATGATTTACTGAACAACAAAAAATAACTGAAGAAAATTAATGTTTTTATAATTTATTTTGTTGGTTATTCATTTTGTTTCGGTTCGATTAACCGAACCAAATATTCGTTTTTTTTATAGGTACAAAGCGAATTTTTGGTTTCGGTCGGTTCGGCTCGGTTAACTGAACTTTGTGCACCCGCTTGGGCTTATTTTTATTAATTCCATTTTTTATTTTTATATTTTTTTATTTTTTTTATACTACATGTAAGATCTGTTTGAGTATGGTGCTAATCGAAGATCCACGACTAGAAATTCATTTAAACATCTTGAAAAACCGATTACATTCCAACTTCAAACAAATTGAAATACTGAAAACTTCAAAATCAACCTGGAAACCACCATTACACACTAAAGAACTCAAGAACACTAACTCATGCCAACCAAAAACAGCACAAAACGATGCAAATGACTACAAACAACAAAAACATTGTGGTGTTTCCCCTTATTTGATGTGCTTTCTGTAGATTATTATATTCGATTTCCAACAATCTTTTTTCTTCCTTCATCTTGTCGTTTTCATCTTGCAATTGTTGAACTCGATCGCGTAACTCGTTTGATTTCCGCAGAAGCCCGTTAATTAATTGCTTTGAACGATTGCACATTGGACCATCGATCCACGAAAAGAAATTACAACCTCCTTCCTACAAAACAGCAGAAATGATCTGCCTAAAACTCCGGAAAAAGAAATTAGGGTTTGTCAACCCTGAATTAAACAAAATTTACCTTGTATAATTCGCAAGAACTGAATCGCCTTATAGGATTTTCCGATGTCCACGATGTGCGAATGACCGCAAGTTGGCGACAATAGCACTCCTTGTACCCTTGGACCTGTGAATTTTCTGACATGGTTTGCAAATTCGCTCTCGAAGAAAAATAAAATTAAATATATTATTCTTTGCGGGTTCTACGAGTTACGTTTCTTCTTACACATTTACAAAGTGGAACTATTTCCCTCCATAATGTGGTTGGAAATTTGGAAAATGCTACATAATAAATGTACAGAAATTATGGTAAATGCTATATAATAAATGCGAAATTGATCCATTTTAAACAATCATGGAAAATGGTACTATAATAAATGTAATAAATGTACAAAACATCTTTCTTGTACAGGTTCTTTTTTTTTTCTTTTATTAATTTGGTGTGACCACATTTGATCAAAAGTAAGCAATTACACAGTGTTCAATTACGTTTTGTGCTACCACTAAAATACTTCAGAATATTTGCCATAATATCATATGGGTCATACCCAAACAACTTCGATATTAATTATCACCCAACCAATGGATACGTAACTCGATACATGATTTCGTAATTCATCACTTGTCGTAATCGGAATGTCATAAGATGAATCGTCGCTATCAGGTTGACAACCATAGTAAAGAGCCTCAACATCTTCGGACGGTGGATTTCCGGCAAACACAATAGTCCATAGAGGGTATCCATAGTTACTGTACACGAGTCATAGGTCTGGTCATTGCTGACTTCATTGCCTCCTCTGGAAGTAACGAAGAACCCAGCCATAGCCCTACAAAAATACATATGCGTGCATACATTATATTGCAACATTATAATATTACTGGATACCAATTTTAAATTTGATATTAAACGGTTTTTGATTTTTTGGTTAAGAAAAACGTGTTACATACCCTCTTGTGATTTGGTTGTATTTGGCTGTGTAAAGAGTGTCAGCCACCCTTTTCCTCGCTTCCATAGATTCCTGTTTTCAACTAAAGTTAAAATTAAATAATCAATGTAATATGCAAATTAAACTACTTGCTAATTATAAATTACCTCTGTAAGTTGCCGCCAAATTAAATTTGCTGATGGAGTGGAGTGGCATAACAACTTAATACACACATAAAGACCGCAATCGTATCTGCCGAATAACCAATTAAAAGTTAGAAAAGTACAACACATAGGCAATGATTCCAAAATTTTTTGTTTTCTGATATATGAACGGCTAATGTCCGTCCCCATTCAGTTGTTGGGGAACAATTGGGTCGATAATTGGTTTGAACGTGTTGGCGATATTTTCATGAATGAACCCATCCCCATCCCACGTAGAGATAATCCCCTCCAGTTGCATTATCTAGTCACGAATAATTTAACATTACCATTATCATTACTGAGCATATTGTTGCAAGTGAATCATAACCAACAAAATAATTGTTACCACTTTCTTCGGCAGTTCAATCCTCGACTTATTTGTAACTTCCGAACGTAAGGTGTCGCGGATTAGAATAACAGATCTTTTCATATCAACAATACACATGTACCAATGAATATTGCCATCCGATATCGTCAACGTTATACTCAAACATTCGTCAGCACGACCATTGAATACTCTATCTCGAAAGAATCTTTTTTGAATCGAGGCGTCGCTATGCAACGACAAAGCCATGCCCTGCAAGGATCATAGATATTGATAGTCTACATTGGAGAATTATTAAAATGATAATGTGCCTCACAACTCACACTGAAAGATGCCGGTAAACCCAGTTGCGTTTACTACTATATTCTTCAATCCGATTCAATGTCACATGAAGGGCAACCATATCAATGACCTACATAGAAAATCAACTACTTATGAACATAATTCAACTTGTCAACCAATAAGGAAAAAAAATTAAGAATATTTACGCACGGGACTTAACAACCAGTGGGGATATTCAATGGTTAACATTTCTGCTCTCGTGACACTCCAGGCCTCATACTTGACCAAAAATTTGCTGTACAAAATATAAAGTTAAACAGTATTGTAAATGTAGTGGTGTCGTTTAAATTGACAAGCAAAATCCGTAATATGCAGTGTTGTCGTTTGCTTACGAAACATCCCCGTCACGATTGAAAACGTATTCGGACGCATTTGTATCCATAATCGTTATTTCTTTAAAATATTGAAAGATGTCTTTTCCCGTGTTGCAAGACCGAGCGGGAGTGCATGTATCCGACGAGCAAACATCAAAATCCAGTTTGGTGGGTTTCATTGTCTCGTCAAACGATTCTTCTGAGGCACCCTTCTGGCCAGTCATCCTATTTTTTCCATTTTCACAGGCAACATTCTGGCCAGTCATTTTATCTTTTCCATTGTCAGAAGCAATCTTCTGCCCAGTCATCGGGTCTTTTCCATTTTCAGAAGCAACCTTCTGCCCAGTCATCGGGTCTTTTCCAATTTCAGTTCCCATTTTATTGTCATCTTGTCCACAATTAGCGGGTGTGTCCCGATTACATTTCAGCAAAGATATTATGCCAGATACACCCTGATTAATAAGGGTTAGGTGCTCACTGAGATCGTCTCTTACTATTGGATCCGTGGTTGAGTCACGCTGAACAGATTCCTTGGAGACGCTTTCATCCATCTTTAATCCACCCAACTGCTCATTAACTTTCCAAATCTGAAAAAGAACAAAAAAAAAAAAGGGTTACATTATTCATATGTTAATGGCCATTTAAACAAATTTCGTACAAAGAAATGAAATCCACATGTGAACTTACAAAATTCGCATCAAGACTTCCCATGTGTTTAAACACATCAATTGCTCTAGAAATCTCTTGGTGGCTCCATTGTTCTAAAAAAAGAGATCTAGTATGCAATTGTTTTCCGACAAAAAGGAATGATCTAGCCACATGACCAACGAAAACCACCTACAATGGTTTAAAATCACTTTAGAAGATGTCTTATGCAACAATTTATTAACATATGATGCATATAACAATAGACTACCTGCAGTAGTAGAATACATCCCGTGACATACGATTTATTACCACATCTAGCTGACATAGTTCCGTCACCTAACTTGCGAAGAATTATTTCAGACCAATTGTATTGTTGGACAAAATTTAAATCAACCAAGTAATTTAGAAATTCATAGTCCAGAGGTGTATCCCTAGCCCATGGAAACAACACTGTGACAAAAAGCAACATCAAATATGGAACTATGAATTCAGTCCCGTTCGTCTTGCAATCTTTCACCATATGAATCCAATGAATTCTCCTTCTTTCCCAGAAAATAAATTATGGTACGTGTGTCTACCATTGACAGTTTTAGGTTTCACCATTCCTTCACTTGAAAGACCGAAATGTTTCCACAACAACGGGTGACAAAAGAATTGTCTTTTTTCCGATATCCATAGTTCTTGAAATGGGGTTATAATTTTTAACCAACATAGTCAGCAACTTTGAATCCATTTGTGAAACGTTCATACGAGATAATGGCCCAAATCCAACCTTGTCTAAATCACGGCGCTGGTTAGGAGTTAAGTCTTTATTGATTTTGAACAGTGTCGTTAGTTTTGTTCTGTGAAAGAAAACTGTGTCATCCACTGGATTACCTGGTGATTTAATAAATTCTTTTCTTCTTCTTTTGGAACTACTAGCAGGTGTAGCCTACAGATTGGAATAATAATGAAACTCTTTACGAAAGCAAATAATACGAATTATCAAAGAACAACAATTTGTAGGATATTTATTTTTTTTTAAAAAAAAAAAAAAACAAGAACAACAATTACCTCTTGAAAATCTGGCATTTCTTGGAAAATCCCCACCTGCAATGGATGCTGAAGATGGAGGATTAATTTCTTCTTCTTCTTCGTTAATAAGATGACTGCTTCTGAAGATGGAGGTTTAATTTTCGGGTAGTGACCACACAGTATAGGGGGGTTATTTTTATCGTGTATTACGAGATCCGACAATCCGTTGAGATATTTTAGGTGATGATTACATATCCCGACATCCATGGTTGGTTGCAGTACAAACGTAACTACCATATTCAATCAAAAAGTAAATATATTTTGAATATATTAGTAGTACTTGAGATATATATGTAAATCTGCAATTTGGTAAATTTGCATTTAAGCGTATACATTTGGTCAACATTTGCTTTTAATTAAAAATAAAAAAATTTATTTGGTCAACACTTACTTTTTTTTTCACACTTAATTTGTTTCATAAATTTTATATTCAATTATAAAATGTTCATTTAAATTGACCATACGATCTTAGGACAATTGCATCTATATGTGTGTAACTATATACTAGTACAATACCCGTGTATTACACGGTTGTTGAATTAGAAATACCCAATCGTAAAAAATAACTTTTTTTTAAACTAAAATAATTTAATTTTATATAAAAGATTAGTTTGGGTTTTAATTAAATTGTGAATTTTTTTTTAAAGATAAATATCGATATATTTACTATTACATAAGTACAAAAATATATATCTTAAATAAATAGAAAATATAATGGTGATATGTATATGCATAAGTGTGAAAATCTATATCTATATCTATATTTTTTTCTTTTTATCGTTAAATAAATTTTATAGATCAGAACTGATGTTACATCGACCGTCACATGGCATACGGAAGCATAGTGAGCGGCCACAATCTCGACCGTCACATGGCATACGGAATCATAGCTCAAACCAAAATGAAACCCTAAATCAAAATGAAATCCTCATCAAAGTGATTATAGATCTAATCATACGTACCTTAAGGAGGCTTCGCCTAGCCATTTCCGAGTCTATATCTATATGTTATATATATAGGATGTGGTTCAAATGAGAACCAAGTCCTAGCGTGAGAACCGTGAGAACCGCTATTTTTGATTGTATGTAGTGCTATGATTGATTGTGTTATAGTGCTATTTTTAACTATGATGTATTTGATTAATATAGCAATAATTTTTTTTCAGCATTTGTATAAATAATAGCACCATGCAATATTCGAAATTTAGGGTTATACACAATTAAAAATAGTATAAAATATGGTTCTCACGGTTCTCAAACCATAACTAGTTATGAGAATAATCATTTATCTAAAATATTAGTAAAACAATAGGTAGCGAAGTAGACTGGTTAACTAGTTATGAGAATAATCATTTATCTAAAATATTAGTAAATCATGAATAATGCTATTTATATATTTGATTTAAAACAAAAAATCGTAAATTCAGTACTAAATCATATTAGTAATTGGTTCAAATTATATCAATCATCTAGCAAATCTAAAAGTTAAAATTTCATTTTTTTCACTTACAAAAAAAAAAATATCAAATTTCAATTCGGCAATTTTTTTTATCTTCGATTATATTATTCCATATTCAACAATCCATTCCATACCATAAAGAAGATAACCGGCAACAAACCGTTCCATTCGATTAAATATTTTTTTGATTTAAATATTACTGAAGAGAAGAACAAAATTAAAATTAACAATAGTCATAAACTAAGTCATAAAATCGATTGGACCGTGATACGGTGGTAGATCTGCCTTGGCAGAAGCAGATTTTATGTTTCCTTTCTTATAAAAAAAAATAACTTCAAACAGATCCATAACAACATGTTTAAAGACGATGGTGTCCCCCTCTTCTATTCCGTTGTCGTGAAGGAACCAACGCCAACCACTTTCAAATATGATGTTGCCCAGACTAAGACCAGCAACGAATCCATTTGTCATTTTTGTGATTGAACAAACGCAGCATCACCTCTTTCCTCGGCCGAATATATGCATCTGCGGAAGGTGGCAAAACCTGCAAAAGATTTTTTGGGTTATAAGCGGGATTGTGTTCCTAAATGCTGGGAAACGCAAATTAATTAAACTAAGAGTCACCGTGATCGGGGTTTTCATGTGGTCAACACGGACGAGGAATGATATGTACATCTTCTCCATCTTCGGTAGAAATAATTTTTTAAAATATGAAATTACAACTAAAAAAGAAATTTGTAGAAGTACAATTTATGGAGGAGATGGTGTATAATTGCTTTGGTAGATGTAGACAAATTTATGTTTAGGGTTTCAATGTAATAATGTAAAATTTGAAAAGTGAAAAGTCGGCCATCATGCGTCATCATTTTTCTGACGCCATTTTTTTATTTTTTTTAATATATAGCTGATTTGTTTAGATTGACCTGCCGCTTCAAGTTTATTACACTGCATTCACATTATTCATGGCACACGACACGACACTTAAATAAATACGAGTATCATATATAAGTGATCCAAGTCTCCAAGAACTATTAATTTTATTTAATGGTTTTATATTTATTAAATAATAGGATAGTTTCGACAAAATTATCATATATTCGGATAGACTATTGTTTATAAATTTCAAACATATTCGATATCTGTCGTTATTTTATTTTCAAGTTTTTTTACCATTATATTATATCACCCCTATAAGGTTGTTATCGAACCGAGTTGTTCACTAACAAAGCTCGTTCGTGTTCCTTCGAGTTCGATAACAACTGCTTCATTCGATAACGGCAGTTATAAATTTATATACTACATATAGTATACACATATAATATAATATATAAGTATGAATATATATTATAAATTAAATAAAATAACTTGCATGACATTTAAAAAAGAAAAATAAGGTTAACAAACACGATCATGAATAGCTGGTTCGAGTAGATAAACGAACGTTTCGAACCAATAAACGAACGAACACAAACGAAAATTTGTGTTCGTTGTCAAATTTTTATGATGACCATTTTAATTTTTTTTTGGGTTTTAAACCCTTTATAATGAATGGAAATGATAGGTAGTTAAAATTAGTTTAGAGTATGAAAAATATATTAAAGTTGATGTGATGTGTAAGAATGATTGATTTGTAATATTGAATTATATGAATAATATTAAAGATAGTGAGTTACATTTTAACTATAAAATAAATGTGAACAAAATAATTGATAAACAATCAAACCCTTAAATTTTATTACTTGGTCCTAATTATAACAACAATTATTTTAGAATTAATAATTATAAATACAATAGGATATATGAAGTAGCAAAATACGATAGGGTATAAGAACTAGCCAAATTACTATATTAATGAAGTAGCGAAATACGGATTCGAGAACAAAATATTACTATAATATAACACATGTAAGTAACAAGTTTCATTCTAAAATATATAATAATATATATTTTTTGTAACAAAGTAAATAAAAAAAATCTCATTAGTTTTAACAAGTAGCCAAATTACTATATTAATGTGTTTATAATTATTCATTATTTTGTTGTCAGTATATGATATATGACGTAACAAAGTAGTTGAGCAAATATGTCCAAATCCCATAACGTGCAACTCAAAACATTCCTGATTGAAGCCTCAAATTCCCAAATTTATTGTCTTCTTAATTAGACTAAATCATTAAAGGTCAATAATAATACAAGTGCGAACGAGACAAGCGATTGTGCGTTTTTAATTATTAATTTTAATTAATTAATTATTGAAGCCGCATTAATACATCTCCTTTGATCTCCACCTACCACTTCATAATCTCCTACATAAATATGAAACAACTAAAAAAAAAATTTATCAAAGGATGTTTTTCTTGTTTGATGTATTTTTAATGGGAATCATACCAAATCGAACAGTTCAGATAGTAATTTGGCAAACGAACCAAATCGATAAAAAAAAAAAATTAAGAACCGAACCGTCTTGATATTTCCGTATGCTAAATTAATATTCTATTTTTATACACAGGTAAATAATTATATCCATTCCAATGCTTAGATATATTATATATTTTCAGATATTAGAATATGCTATTACTATTTAAATTATACTATCAGCATTTCCAAAATTGAGTAAACAAATCACTTCAAATAATTTATTAATGAGATCATCCCGAAATTACATAGCAGTAATAAATGGAATACATATAGACACGATCCCCAACCAACCACTAATCTAATCCCACCTTGATAAAATAAATTAAAAATAAATACACGATATACGAAACACTCCACCGCCACCGATCACACACCCCTTCACATTGGAAATTGTACTCTATATTTATGTGCGATAGGTTTTCAGTGAAGTACATCTACTTTTAGTTTGATCCTAAAACAAAAGAAGAAAAACACAAATGGACGATTTCCCTTTTGCTGTACCAACAACAAAAGAAGAACACTTCAACTATATGAGGGATGGGATGCTGGAAAGATGGGATGAATGGTTGGCGATTGCATTCTGCCGCATACTACGACGTTTTGTGGTGTTGGAGCGTATGACAGAAGAGGGCGAGATCTTCGTTAATTTTTATCCAATACACATGTCTTTTGTTGAGGAGACGGGTTCTTGTTATACACTTAAGAATACTTACCGGATGTACAAGGTGCTTATGGAAAGGTTCAAGACATTTCAGTGGTTGTTGGATCAGTCGGGTGTATATCACGATCCATTCGATTTTACCATTCACGTCCCATTTCTGGTCAAAAAACTGGCACTTAAGGTATATGTTTCAACAATCATATTTCATATGTTTAATCAAGTTATGTCATACGTGTAATTGGGTTGGTGACAAAATCATTTTTTTGTTTTATTTATGAAGCATTGGCCGCTTGCGCAGTACGTTTTGAATGTACCTGAGCCGAGGTGGGACTATCTGAAGCCATATTCGAACCATTGGGGACACTGGCGAAGTACCCAGGCGAAGAGCTTAACAAGACACCTAGAGACTTCCCATCTCTGTGCCATCTATTCGGGGAATACATGAAACATCTGCAAGGCGGTATTAATTACTAGACTGCATTCGTCGCGTGTAACAATTTAACTATACGTTTAGTCGGATGTCTGTTTCAGTTTTTTTCATGAACGCGTGTTTTAGTATCGATGGCTGTGGGACTTTTTGTTTGCCTAAAATGTTATTTTAATGATCTGCTTATAAGCTTATTTCTAATGATGATAATTACCAAGCTTGT